CCCCGCTCCCCCCCAGCATCTGCCTTTGGGGCTTCCCCTTCACCTTCTTTTGTGTGTGTGTGTGTGTGTGTGTCCGCCAGGTCTGGCTCAGCCCCCCGACGACTGAGCGAGTCCCCAGGGCAGAAGCCACCACCTCCCCGGGCCCTGGAGCCGGCGTGGATGGGGACGGCACCGGGACGCCAGCGCAGACCCCGGCGTGGCACAAAACCTCGCCGTTGGGTGTCCACCTCCTGGTTTGTTTTATATCTGTACAAAGAAATCCTAATAACTAAAGATCCCCTCAAAAAGGAACCCACAACGACCCGAAATGTCGCACGAGGGCTGTTTTGTTCCTGGAGTCACAACAGAATTGAAATCAAGGGGGGGGAACCGTGGGCAGGCGATGGCATTGACGCGCCAGCGTCACCTCCAGCCACTTTCCCCCACCTCTGGCTCAAATGTCCTCATCCTGTGACACCCTGGTGGGGGGTGACACGGGGACACGCCGTCCCGCGGTGCGGGGGGGCTTTTGCACTTCCCAGGAAAGGCAGAAGACACTACTGCAGGCTCAGAGTGGGTCCTCATCACCCAAACCTCCCCTCGGTGCTTCTGTGGGCATTAAAACCAGTAAAGGGATGGCGCGTAGTGGTGGCATGGTCACCGGGGCAGCCCCGGCACAGGGGTGGGAAATGGGGAGCACCCACCGGCGCCGTGGAGCCGGAGAGCCCCTGGCACAGCGACGTCCCTGGGGACCACAGAAGCAGGGAGGCACAGCCCAAAGTGACCCCGCATCCCGGCGGCTTTGAGGACCGGTCAGGGCTCGGGGTGGGATGCTGCTCCTGGCAAACACACGGCACCCGGCGGGGACATCGCAGGTGCCAGGGGACGCTGGCATTTCCCCACGCTGTTTTTCCCCCTGCGCCGCGCCAGCTCAGTGCTTTTTATAGCTCTCCCTGGTTGTGCCAAACAGCAAAACCCAGAAACCCCCGGTGTGCGGTGCCAGGGACACCGATAACCCCGGGGACGGGATGGCAGGGGGGAGCCCCGCACCGGCGGTCCCCCTGTGCTTTGACACGGCAAATCCTGGTCAAATTCTCCTCGTCGGTCCCGGGGGGGGGGGGGGGGCAGAGGCCAGGAGGGAGCTTGGCTTTGCCGTGCAGCTTTACCGTGGCTTTATTAATTGAGAAGGCGAAACTCCATTAGTCACGCTCGTTAATGCCCGGCCCTCCGGTGCGCCTGCACCAGACACAGTCCTGGTGGCTGCGGGGGAGCGAGGATGGGGCAAGGGATGCAGTGGGGTTGGGAGGGGGCTGGATTAGACCCCCTTCCTGGCCCAGCAATGGGTCCAGCTTCTCCAGCAAGCTCCGAACACCCAACAAACCCCACAGCAGGCTGGGGCGTGGGGAGCATCTCCATCAAGAGGCTGCACCGAGCACCCAAACACAGCTCTATCGCTCCATCGGAGGATGCACAAACCACCCAAAATCAACAGGAGACACCCCCCCCCCCCACCCCCCCCATCATTCCCTGCCTCAAGCTCTCTGCCCGGGTGACGCAGGCCGGCGTCCCACCACCGTCCCCTCCGCTCAGCCCACCTCTCCTCCCGGCGTTCCTACTTGCCCGCGAAGCAGTAGGTGCCGTAGGTCCGCATTTCCTTGCTGGGAAAGCCGAAGCTGCGGACTCCAGGGTCCGGCAGCCCCCCGCAGCGCTCGCGAGGGGTGGTGATGGGGTACCGCACGCTGCCGTCTGCCAGCCACCCCCCGTCGCAGCGATCCAGCTGGGAAAACTTCCAGGCAGAGTAGAGCTGTCCCACTTTGGCGATGGCGGCCCCATGGTTGCGGCACGCTTGCCCGGCTTCCTTGAAGTTCAGGTGGCCCCGGATGAAGTAGACTTGGCCTGGGGATGAACGGGGACACAGCGGGTGAGCAGCCACCATGGATGGGAACAACCCTGGTGGAAAGCTGGGTGGGCATCGGAGTTTGGTGCCAGCGCGGGAGGGACAAGGGACCTCAGCACTACCTTGAAGAGCAGAGGTGAAGCAGAAAGCGTCGAATCGGTCCTTCTGCTTGTCCCTGGCCCCGTAGGTCCGGACGCCTGGCAGGAGGAGGCGGCCGCCGCACGGCTCCCGCGAGTTGATGATGGGGTAGTGGACGGTGCCGTCGAGGATCCAGCCGGCATTGCACCAGTCCAGACCCTCCGTCCAGGCTGCGGGGCGAGAGGTAGCTCAGCACCGGCACTTCCCTCCTCCTGTGCCCAGCGAGGCACATTTTGGGGCAGAACGAGGGGTTTGGGGGTTTTTGGGGGGGGATACTTCACCTTTGTAGAGCTGCTGGTAGGTGGCGAGGCGGGAGTCCTGCTGCTCACAGGCTCGCTTGGCTTCGTGGTAGTTGAATTTGTAGCGCCCATTGCTGGGCTGGTAGGGGAAGACGACGCCTGGGGCAAAGGGACAGGGATGGAGGGTGAAGGAGATGCTTTCCCGGAGGAGAATTGGGCTTATCATGCTTGGGAATTTGGCGCTGAAGATAAGGTCGGGGCAACAGGGGACACGAGGAGTGTAGGTACCCAGCCATGGACCCCCAGCCCAGTCCAGGGTCCCCTCTCCACTGTCCCCGACATCCCCGGGGGATGCGGCGGGATGGAGCCCAGCCTCACCTTCGAGGTGCAGCGTGAGCGAGACGCTCTCATCCTCCAGCCCGTTGACAAGCTGGCAGCGGTAGCGGCCCTCGGC